CCCTCACCACGTACAGTAATCCACGTCGAGGGGGTTGGGTGGGAATGTGTGAAGAAGCGAGAATCTATTGGAAATAAATTTTCAGGTTTGGAAAATGTTAACTTCTGAGATGATACCTCACCTCTTCACACAGAATAGCTAGAATCCCACACTGAATTGGTGTAGCAGCCAGTGCAAACTTGAACCTAGATGAGTTCCTTCCTGAAAGCCCTTAAAGGGAAAACCCATAGAATGTGATACCTGATGGCATGGGCTCCATAGAGGAACAGAGGAACATCTGTGGAAGACCAAATCTTGTCTCAACCAGGGTCTACTCTTCACCCGAAATGTAAAGAGGGGGGGGGGGGCGTCAACAGTCAACGAGCTTCCAGAAACCATAGTAGAAATAAGTCCTGTGTTCATAACTCAAGTATTTTCACAGGACAAATTAGAAGACACTGTCATTTGAGAATTTATTATATTAAACAAAAGCAAAGGCAGAATGAAAATGTATATTTTGTTGATGATTGCAAATTTCAGTAAATTGAACATAGACTCAAAAAATTAGCACATCTATTCAAGGCAATGTTGAGGAAAAGAACGAAGTTATTTCAAGTACAAGTGCTTAAGAGGAGTTACTGTGCATGGAGGTTGTGTTACCTTCCTGTTGCTGGAGGGTTATTGTCGCATGATGATGTCATTATGCAACAGTGCAGTTCACTTTAAACGTGAATTTTTGATAGGAATTATCTAAAGCTACATGCAAATCTCATGGGCAGGACACACAGAGGATACAGCTATTGTGTGAGGAGGTGAGGTGTTGTCTCGAAAATTTTATTTTCTATATACAGAAATATTTAACTTCTTTTCCATATAACTTTACAAAACAGAAAAGCTATTAAATTGGACAGTATTTTATTCAACTAATTTTAAAGATTTATGTGATTTTTACAGTGTTAACACAATGCAAATCATCATTCATCACATACATTGGTGACAAATACCTAAAAACTTAAAAAATTCTGAATACTATATTATTTTTTAACAATGAAAAATATATTTTCAATTATAATCAATCTTAAGTTGCAAGCAAAAGATTACTAAGAGAAGAAAATATTTGTTTTGTCACTAAACATCTCTAAATTAATACTTATAATATGATGGGTGAGCCAATTTGTATATTAATCATTTAATGCATCAACTTCTGCTTCTGGACAGTCATCCATAGTCATAAAAGGATAAAGCCTGTGGTAATACCACCCAAAAAAGCATTGGGGGGGTATCCCATCTATCAAGCAAAATCCAAAGTTAAATTTAAGTTAAATCCTGAAGTTAAATTTAAACTTGTATACAGTTTTACATAATTGCTTATTTGTCAGTATCATTTTACATAATTTTTTTTATATCTTTTAGCTATGTTTGGCTCACCCTACACTTGTCAGAGTTAATAAAAAATCCAGAATCACTTACAGCCACAGTCGACCCATTCTTCCCGACCCCGCCAGAAAGAATTATAACAAAGTTGCTGTAGCACATAACTGCTGATACTGAGAGAGCAATAATCACAGGAAGTAGTCTGAGCTCCACATGCAGAAAAGGAAGCTGAACACCAGGAAGAAAATCAAAGGAGCAAGGGAGGAAAAAGTAGAAAAAAAACAACAGAAATATTGAGTTTAGTATAAAAGAATAATTATGGTTGTTTTGAAACTGTTACAAGGTAATAGAAAGCTTAAAAGATAAAAGTATATGTAATCCACAGATCTGAAAAAAAAAGTTAGGAAAAACATTTATGCACTCAACCTACCACTCAGTTACCAAAGTAAAGACACTAATTCTGTGTATTATTCAAGCTTAATGACTGTCACATTTGCGTATTCAAATAGCTATTGTTAATTAACAACATTTAAATTTAATCATAGATTAATTGGCAACATCAATATCAATCCCAAGCCACCACTGAATGCAATTTTTACTTTAAGTTGATAGCTTTGATAAGTGGAATATTGTGGGTACAATTCAATGCATATTACACTGACTTACAAGAAAGTGATCAGTGGGGTCCAAAAGATGGTTCCAGAGAGGATTTAAAATATCATCTTTAAAACCTTCTTGACACTGAACAAGGCAATATTTTCATCAAGAATTTTATTTATTGCAATAAATATGTCTACATAATGTTTATGCTCGAGATAATTTTCAGAGATCATATTGCAATGATAGTAAGGTACCTCATTAGGTGGGGAGGGGGGGGGGTCCTTCAGCCAGGGTGCCCATGATCTTTGAGAGTTTCAAGCTAAACAAATTGGTAACTCCTGATTTTACAGTATTAGCAATAATTTGTATATTCATATGAACACACACAGACTATTAGGCATAATAAATTAACTAAACCAGTTCAGCCATTTCATAAAAAATACGAACATTTTGTTAATTTTTTTTTTATGAGAAAGAATACAATGTACTAATTTACATAAGATGAAATTTAGTAATGTTCAAAATATATGAAATCTATGAATAAACTAGTGTCAAACATTGTCACTTAGTAGTACACAGATCTAATATTATGAATTACTTTAAGATACATTTACTAATGTAAGATAAATTATCATTTAGTTCTAATTTTGTTATGACAAAAAGTATCATTTGAGCTAGATTTAATAATTTCAGGCCATAACAACATGTTGGAAAAAACAAAGTTGTAGAAATTTATTGTGTGTGAATTATTAGTAAAACTTTGTGAAAAAGTGAAAAAAAAAAAAAGAGGACTTTCTTGTAGTGAAAAAATACACTACTTGTCTATACCCTGTCCAATTTCACTTTTTTAGCTTTAACTGCCTTGAAATCTACAGACTTCTTTGTAAACTCTCAGTTTCACTCTTAAAAATTACATTTTTTTTTTCTAAATGACTTTACTAGTACATGAAGTGGGCAGAGTACTTAAATTACTGTTCTATGAGTAATCTGTATATATGACATTACTAGTGCATGCAATGGTACGTGCATTCATTCCATGAATAATTTAAATAAGCAAGACTTTACAGGGACATGTGTACTTTAATTACTGTTCCAGTGTAGTCCATATACTAAAACATGAAATGTTGTGTATACTTCAACTGTTGTTCTATGAGTAATTTGTATAAACATGACTTTACTATTACATAAAATGGTGCAAGTACTTATTCCAGGAATATCCTGAATAAATATGACTTGACTAGAATATGTTGTGGAATGTGTACTTATACTATGAGTAATATGTATACACTTACTAGCTGAATGTCTGTCATATGGTGGGAAATACCGATTAATTTTTATACCGAAAATGAAATCTAAATAAATGTTTTATGAATATGGTTTCTAAACATTAATTATATTATAGTAATGTTTTATATCCTTTCTCTAGTATTTCATAGAAACTCCTGCAAGTGATCCTTGATTAACATTTTCACTTATGTATATATTTTTATGTTATGTTCAAATCTGCTTCTTGATAAACCCTTATAGACTGAACCAAGTAAAGAAAACTGGTTCTCAAAAACATATTTCTACATGGACAAATGTCTGACCCTGTTATTTAATAATTGTGATGGTAAAGGCAAAGAATTTGAGAGTGAAGAGCAAATGCATGAAAGTATAACTTTCCATAAAAAAATCTTATAAAACTTTTAACTAAATGTTAAAAAATTTCTTATCCAAGTTGAAAAACATCAATAATGTATCATGGCACCATCTATTGGGTTGCAAAGATATATAAGTTGTGTTTGACAAACAGATAGGAGCATTACCAACAAAGTAAGTATTACAAACAGAGAGAGAGGGGAATTACCAACAAAGGGAGGGACACAAACTAAGAGGAGAATTACCAACAAAGGGAGGGACACAAACTAAGAGGAGAATTACCAACAAAGGGAGGGACACAAACAGAGAGGAGTATCACCAACAAAGGGAGGGTTACAAACAGAGAGAGGAGTATCACCAACAAAGGGAGGGTTACGAACAGAGGAGTATCACCAACAAAGTAAGTATTACAAACAGAGAAAGAGGGGAATTACCAACAAAGGGAGGGTTACAAACAGAGAGAGGAGTATCACCAACAAAGGAAGGGTTACAAACAGAGAGAGGAGTATCACCAACAAAGGGAGGGTTACAAACAGAGAGAGAGGAGTATCACCAACAAAGGGAGGGTTACAAACAGAGAGAGGAGTATCACCAACAAAGGGAGGGTTACGAACAGAGGAGTATCACCAACAAAGGGAGGGTTACAAACAGAGAGAGGAGTATCACCAACAAAGGGAGGGTTACAAACAGAGAGAGGAGTATCACCAACAAAGGGAGGGTTACAAACAGAGAGAGGAGTATCACC